TTTTTTTTTTTTTTTCTTCTTTCTTTTTTAAGCATCTAAGCCTTCAGATTTATTTGAGAATCTCTCAATACAGATCTTAACGTGACCATGTTGTTTTCGTCTCCTAACGATTAGCAGCCACTTCTCAAAGAACTGTTCTGGGCGGTTTTTTTTAAATGCCAGGAAATTTGTGAAATAAGACTCTAAATTTTTAAAAAATGTTTGCGTTTGCCTGTTCTCTGTTTCCAAGTGGCAAAAGTCCTGTTTGTGCAAAGGACAGAGGATCAGACTTGCAAAGAGAACTGATGGGTCAGAGCTGGGTTCTGCTTCCCCACCGAATTGAACATGAACTGAATTTTTGGCGAATTCTCCATGTCTATGTGTATATTCACAGGATGCCACTTTACCAATGTGTAGGAATTAAAAGCAGTATTCATGTCTATAAAAACTTCRAATAAATTTTCCGCTCAAACTCTTAATCCTGTGAAATTGTGCTGTCTGTAAATGGGCCGAGTTTGCCCTCCTAAATCAATCTCATAAATCAGTCTCTAAATATGCCAGCTTTTTTCCATGTATCTTCCATGTAGCCCCTTTTCAGTGTATTTATAGCTCCACTTCCATACTGGAATTACACCAGAATCTTTGAGGGGAAAACCCTGACTACAGCACTGGTCAAGTGGTTCCCTGTCCTAAAGAGGTAATTCCTTAATTTTCACTTGAGAGGCAGATCTGCTTTTTGAGGAGAGTATCATGGTGATAATTTKGCAAGCTTATGTGAGCGTGATTTGGTTTAACATCTTCATGCAYTGTGGACCACAGGGTGGTGAGTTTAAATCTTACACATAGTTTTCAATTATGTCCTGCTTGTGTAAAAGAAAGGTACCACTCTGAGAAGGACTTAAAGTAAATTTTCTCCTGTTTGTGTGTAGTTCCTGATCAGTTSTAGGCTGAAGGTTGACCCTCACTTCAAAGAGCTGAAAGTGACCTTGACATTACRGTCTCCGTCTTTAGGCAAACAAAAAGTTGACGTACTTAAGACGATGAACTTTAGCTGAGTGCACTGGCTGGAGAGTTGGCTTGTGCTCCCTGTAATTCCACGCTTAAGCGAAGGCACAGCCGAGAGCTGCCTTTCCCAAAGCCGTGTTTTATGGTGGTGGTATTTCAAGGGACTGCACCAGATGAAAAGATGGGAAAGTGATTTCAGTGGGAAACTGCTTTTCTGCAACACATACTTTTCACGTGTGTATGTGCAAAATTGTAACTTCGCGCTCTATTAGGTTTTGCATGCAAGTGTTTGGGGCAAACCCAGGTTACCATATGGAAATGGAGATAAAAAGTCTGAAATTGCAGTTAAATGTGGTTTCAGTYCTTAGGAAGGGTGAGAAGGAGCACTTTGAAGCTAGTACACAGACATATGTTTCACAGAGACTTCAATTTTTAGTTTGAAACAGTTTGACATGGTATTAAAGCTAGCTTATACGCATTTTGGGGCTAAAAAAAAGTAAAACCCCTCCAACCAATCCTGTCCTGCAAGTGGAATAATCAGATTTCCTAGAGTATCTGCCTTAATGCATGAATGTCTGTGTCCCCTCTTAGGAGTTCTGTTCTCATGCCTTGCTCATGTGTTTTTGGTATGGAATTAATGTTCTGACAGCCATTGGCACCTGCTGTCRGTTCCCTGGAGCTGGTATTCATAACAGTTTGAGGGAATAGACTGGTCATTTCCAGCAGCAGATCTCTGACGAAAATAAGGGTAACTTTTGGTGCTGGTTGGGGGTCTGAGATGAGGATGTGAGTTTAGTAGAGAAGGAAAAGGGAGCTGGGGAAAAATCTTGCACAGGTCTGCACAGCCTGTGCTGTGGTCTTATGAGTACACGAAAGAACTTGTTCGTGCAGAGAGATGGASGACTGCTAAATTTCACAGCTTCTGCTATCTTCTTGTATGTTTTTCTTTCTTCCCTCATTCTGTCGCCTTCAACTTTGCAAAGGTTTACGTGCTCACTTTAAGTGGCTGTGATTTTTCTGCTCTGGTCCCCTCATTTTTAAAAAATGTATTTGGAAAGTCCCTTTCTCCTCATCCATCCTTTAAAATGTGATAGTAARCCATGGCTTCGTGGTTTTCTGCTGTGTTGCAGTTCTGCTGTGCACGTGCCAGTCAAAATAGCTGATGCTTTGTGGTAGCAGCACTGAGGTTTTTTTACTGCCATTATGCTATGAAACCACCAGATATTTAAACACAGCTGTCCTTGGTAAAGCGAGGAAGAAAAGCTTGAGGGAATGAGAATCAGACTTAAATTCTCTCTTAGAATGACTGTGCTTTTGTCTGGGGTAGGCRAGGGCTCAGTAGAACAACTGGATGTGCCTTAAATCAGAATCTTARCATTGATGGTTGGTTTGGAAGCAGTTTGTAGGAAGTCTGCTGATGTAGTATAATAATTCCCAGTATTTTGAGGGAATCTCATCAATGCTGGTGCCAATAGGCTGGTGCCAGATTCTTTTTGTTGGTGCACAGTGACAGGGTGAGGTGCAATGGCAATAAACTAAAAACACAAGAAGTTTCACCTCACTATGAGGAAGAACTTTTCTTTRCACAGCGGGTGACACAGCACTGGAACAGGCTGCCCAGGGATGTTGTGGGGTGTCCCTCTCTGGAGACATTCCARCCCCACCTGGATGCATTCCTGTATAACCTGCTTGAGGTGACCGTGCCTTGGCAGGGGGCTCGGACTGGATGATCTCCAGAGGCCCCTTCCAGCCCTACCTGTTCTGTGAATATGCCCTGATTAGAGTGAAATACATTTTATTGGAAAAAAAAAGGTAAAACGCCATCAAAAATACCTTGTGTAGACGAAACATTGTTTGGGATAAATTGGTTCAGATTTTTCTGTGTCTAGTAGACTTCTCTRTTCTTCTTAGAGTTCATAAGGTAATTTTTGAAAGTAAATTGGGAAACCTGAATTTTGATGTAAGTATGACTAAAAATCCTGTGGTTATTTGACTATTCCTATTGATAGCATATTTAGTTACTTAAAAGCAAAGAGTTTAAAAATGAGAAATGGACTTGATTTYTCTAGGATGTAAGGGACACTGGTATGATTAAGACAAGGCTACAGATAGCATCCTCTTACTTTCTAATCTTTTCAGTTGTAGGGAGTGATTAAAAAAAGAGCCAGATTGTTAAKCTGGTTATTGATGTTTGAACAGGAGGCTCAAACRTCTCAGGTACAGAAGTRGAATATTTTGCTGTGGTTTTGTTTRGCAGTTGCTCTTTGGCACTAATCAYAGAGGTGCATCTTCTGTCTTGAGTAATGCTTAAATGTGCTAAGATATGTAATGGTGTTAAGAAATGTTTTATTCAGCAGAAAAGCTTTAATTTGGTAAAAGCTGCAGTGCCTGACCAAGGCCCTTTTTCTGGAAGACACCTGTTTGCATTAAAGCTTTTTTTGTGATCTTTCATCAGCATAGTGAGCAAATTTAAAAAGCTGGTTGGTTTTCAGGGAAAAAAACAAGCCAAGATGAGCTTGGCAGCACTGACATCATTCAGTGCTGTCCCTGTGGAGCTGGGTGAAGATAACTCAAGACAGATGAGTGTAATCGAGTRACATTATGTGACATCTTTAGAATTCAGAACTTGATTGTGCTTGTGCTACTCAAGAAGTTGCTGAAGACCTTGCAAGAATTGGTGTTCAGGCAGAAAACTTCCCTTCTGGAAGCAAGTCTGACCCTCCCCTTCTGCTGTCAGAAAAAAAGGAGTTTGACTTTTGATCCTTTCAAACATGGGTTGGTAAACCCCAAACCATGGAGTTGAAAGCATGACTAAACACAGTGTTTTTGTTGATTACAGAAGGAAGTTGTGTTGTGTGCCAACTGAAGATGCTGAAACTMTCTTGGCTATGACTTTAGGGCTGTAGCTATCTCCTGAGCTCGCTGTTGGGG